TCTTGGTTGTCTCCCCCCACCTTCTGGGCTGGCAGAGTTTTCTGGAAGGATGTTTGCGTGGAAGGGACAAATGAAGCAAGAGGGGGGAAGAGAATGTTCCTCAAAGGTTTTGCCAGTCACGGTGAATGATGCAACATCTAGACTGTTTTTGGTGTGCCATGACACCCCAGGCACTCTCAAGAGCTCTGGTCCTGCTAGGAACTCAAGCAGGCACGAGACAAGAGACTCCCACCCCTGGGATGTAGGTCTGCCCTGATGCCAAGCCACAGTCACTAAACACAGGAACAGAGAAGGAGATATGCCAGGAGAAAAGTGTGACCAGCTTTTCCCTTGTGCTTAGATTTCCTCAAGTTTTTTCTTACTAACATTTGCTGTTTGTAGAACATAGGTTGAAATTTTCCTTGCACTCAAAACTCATACTCTTGATGATTTCAGACACTTATTATTCATTTTCAAAGTGTTTGTGCCAGTGTTAATGTAAGTGGATTACTCCAGTGAAGAATTGTGGGGAGTGTATATGTGTTTTCAAGTAGATAAGAGAACATAAATCTCATATGTTTAGTACTGATAGTGATTGCAGTCTCCTCAGCCAAGGGTCCTGCAGTGGGTTGGAAAAGAGCCCCTTGGTTTGTTTTCCTCCATCATTGAGGGAAAGGGATATTAAAAATGGTGATTGAAAATTCATTCATTTAGTGTCTTCCTTGTGTTATGTACTATAATGAGAATTTTCTAGAGTTCAGGTCTTGGTTTTGCTGAGGACCCAGCAGTTATGAGAACATTAAGCTGTGTGGTGTTTAATGTAGACAATGTAACTTTTCCTGATAAATACCCAGCCCCTCCCCCACAAGCTGGAAAGCAAAAATGACAAGTACTGTAATGTTGAAATTGGATCCAAAAGGATTTAGCAAACTGAGCATTTGCCATATTTAGCATCATCAAAGTTCCTTCCTCTCATACTTTAATGATGCTTTGCTGATCTTCTGATTAGTCTGATACGCTATTTCTCTTAAATCACCTACACTATCATTCCTGAACCCTTCCGTTTATCTGTTCTTGGGTCACATTCATGCATATACTTCATGCATACAGGTCTAAACTGACTATTAGGAAACAAATTCTAAAGTCAGAATGTGTGTTTGGTCCATTTTAGGCTGCGTCATTGATTTGTTCAAGAATTTGTGATACTGTGTTCCTTTCCCTGGGCATTGCTGCTGACAGCTTGTAGCAAAGTCAAGTACGATGTTAAACAAACCACATGTCCTGTCGTTTTTTAGCTTTGCCATTGTACCTTTGTGGCTGTGAGCCAGAGACAGATCCAAGGCTTCCTCCTGTGCAGTGCAACTTTGCCTGTGTTTTGTGTGTACATGTGTGTAGCCAGTTCCACATTTTTCTCTCTTGTTCCTCCAGGGAGGAAGAAGGTGGGCTGTCCTGGTAAATGGAAGCCACAAATGTCAGTGTCCCAGCTCAAGTTGGTCAGAAAGAGAGGACAGTTTGCTGTGCCACTTAATATCTTTATCATCTGTGGTGTTGCCATAGGCTTTTGAGTGCCAGCTGCAATAATTGAAGACAGGTATTGTTGCTATGTATTAAAGGAAAAAGAAAGAAAAATAAAAATAAATAATTACGTAACTCTCTTTCAGAATCTGCCTAACAGAGGTCATCAAAGCTCTCAATGGTGACTCTGGCAGGATGATTGAAAACCAGGGGGATACCATGCTTTGAGTTAAAATAGAAATATGGTTGAAAAACATGTGTTGAAACAAAGATTAGTTTAACATGAGTTTAAAATTATAGATAGAGGGGTTTTTTTCAGATTTAGGTAGCAAAATAAACTGTCCTGAGGACAATACCTGAATTTTAGCCTTTCTTTGTCTCCCACTCCTTCTCAATCCTCCTTCCCTGGCAAAATTAGCAGTTACCATCGTTCTCCACATATTAACACCTCTCTGCACAGTGCCCATTCCTTTTCCTAGTGGGCATTTAACGACTCAGCCTTAGTTCTGAAGTGTCAGGGTGTCTTTGTGGTAGCAGCTCCGCACTGTGCCCCCTGCCTGCTCCTCCCGCTTGCCCCTCTCCTCTGTGGGGTGGGTGAACCAAAGCAAGCCCCGCATGCGCCATCGTCCTGAGCTCAGCCTGCCTGCTGCTTCACGGGAACTTGCCCGGTTTTGCAGATGTAGTTATTGAGACGGATCACAATAGTGAGGTGCCTGCCAAGCTGCGTTATTTGCACAAACACACTGTCTGCAGTTTTGGTACAGTGGGGCTCGACGCGAGGATTGCCTCGTTTCACAGCGCTAGTTACGGCACATGTCGTTTCCAAGGGGGAGAAAACCATTTCTAAGGAGTTTGCCCTTCCTTTGGCAGGGGAAAACCATACTAGTGGGAAAAACCTAATTAAGACCAGTTGTACTCTTAGGTCTTAGCAGGATGTTTAACTTAAGGCACTCTCAGTTAGTCCCATAAAAACCAATGGGATGATGTAAAACAAGTCAAATAACACCACCTATAAAATCTAAGTAATAACCCAGTCACGTAAGCGGCCTACAAGCCCTTGAGAGGAAGCAGGCTGCCAACATTTTCAGAAGTGATGATGATTTTAGGTCAATTTCATTTTGGGATGCTCAATAAGAGTCACTTTGTCAGGAGGTCCTCAACAGTCCGTTCCTTTAAAATGAAGTGTGCCCAGCACTGCATCCAAAAATTAAAGACATCCTAAATTATAAAAAATGCTGGCCACTCATATGCTTATTTTAGGAACTTGTATTCTTCCCCAGTTTCATCTGCAGGATTCATCTTGAACTAAATTGGTGTTTATTGGTGGGAGAATTAAAGTCCTCCATCCTGATTCTCATTTAAACTAAGGCCACTTTTGAGTGGTTTTGCAGCACACAGGCACAGTAAAGTACAGTTTATAACCACCCTAATACTCTGGAGCAGTGCAAAGTGCCCCCAAGAGAAGTGAAAATCAAGTCTGTAACCTGCTAACTTGCATCCTGAAGGTTGCTCTTTCCATGCAAACTGTCCTGCTATGGCAGTCTCCACGCTTCTGGTGGTACCAGCAGTGAGCACAGCCCAACGGGACAGTTGTTTGTTTCAGTATTCCACTCCTCACATTTCTCCCTCAGCTGTATACTTGCTCCTTCAAGGGCTTTATTGTTGTAGTGTTTCAACATCGTTCTCAGCATTCTTAAAGACAGAGTCGGAAGGCTGCTGTCTGCTGATCTGCACAAGGGGAGTAAAGCTGCTCTGGCAGTTTGAGAATAACAATTGTAACTGTCCTGTGTTCTCTGAAGGAAAACTGAAACATAGGTGGCCAGATGGTATTTCTTTTTCACTTAAAAATCTTGGTTTCAGGAAACTTAATTGATGCCCTCTGGCCTTTTTCCCCCCTCTAATTTTGAAGAGGCTCCCTTGTGAAACAGCAGAGCTTTCCTTGGAACTGCACAGGACATGAACCTGGTTTTTAATCAAGTAACAAAATCCATGGCTTTCAATAGAAGGTCCGTGCGTTGCATGTATCAATTAATGCTTATTAATCAGTTTTTGCAGTTAGTTGAACTGCAGGCCGTAGTTGGAAGCTATTAGGGGGAGAGTTGCGAGAGGAATACTATTGCAGCACTACACCCAGGTCTGCTGTTTGTGTCCTTTGGAATCAAGGTGTTTGTATAATGAAGTTGGCATGTTGATATATGATCTATTTTTTAATGTCATTACAATTTTAGTTCCCTCTGCCTTTTTGTCATTGGGTTGCATTTAAGCACAGCAAGCCCAACTTTAAACTTCCTTACTCAACAGCTTTATTAGTTATAACGTACCGTGACCTTTCTCAACATTCTTAAAGAAAAAGATACAGTGTAATGTCACTTTACTTTGCTTATTGTTCTTTGTTGTGGTGAACAAAGCATTTTCTACAGTGGCTATAGCACATAATTATACAGCTTTCAATAGCGGTGTCTTGGCACATATCAAAGTTCAGAAGAGCCTTTAGAAAAAAAAAGATGTTTTGTGGCAGCCTAGGGAGGGTCTCATCTTTCCTTCAGAAAATAGTTCAAGGCTCTTCTGTCAAGCTTCCCTACTTAGAGCTTTTTCTCCTCCTGCTTCATAAAGTTTAAAGGGGATTCAGTGGAGTT